TCTACCTTATCATCCTTGTTTTGTATGAGTTTCTGCGACATTTTCGCCTTCAACTCTTCGCGTTCATTCCTTTGGATAGTATACCCCCCATCTCCTCCCCTCCCCCCCTCCCCTTCCACTACCTTTCCCCGTCCCTCCACCACTATCCACTCCTCTGTTCCTACCCCCACCACCTCTCTCGCCACCATCAACCACTCCCTCCCCTTACTACCCGCCTCCCCTCTGCCACCCTCACCCCCGTGCCATCCCCCCAACGCCCCCTCCCTTCCTCCGACCCTCTCTCCCCCTCCCCATTCCACCTCGTCCCCTCGCCCCCTCCCCTCTCCGCCACTCCACCCCCTGCTGGCTTTATTTGGCCATCTCTACAGTGTTATAATCGACCTTTATATGGAGTCAGTGGCTGCCGCTTTGCTGCCTACTACCCGTGTGCTGCCTTCTGCCCGTGTGCTGCCTACTACCCGTGTGCTGCCTTCTACCCGTGTGCTGCCTACTACCCGTGTGCTGCCTACTACCCGTGTGCTGCCTACTACCCGTGTGCTGCCTTCTACCCGTGTGCTGCCTTCAGCCCGTGTGCTGCCTTCTATCCGTGTGCTGCCTACTACCCGTGTGCTGCCTTCTACCCGTGTGCTGCCTACTACCCGTGTGCTGCCTACTACCCGTGTGCTGCCTACTACCCGTGTGTTGCCTACTACCCGTGTGCTGCCTACTACCCGTGTGCTGCCTACTACCCGTGTGCTGCCTACTACCCGTGTGCTGCCTACTACCCGTGTGCTGCCCTCTACCCGTGTGCTGCCTACTACCCGTGTGCTGCCTTCTACCCGTGTGCTGCCTTCTACCCGTGTGCTGCCTTCTACCCGTGTGCTGCCTACTACCCGTGTGCTGCCTACTACCCGTGTGCTGCCCTCTACCCGTGTGCTGCCTACTACCCGTGTGCTGCCCTCTACCCGTGTGCTGTCCTCTACCCGTGTGCTGCCCTCTACCCGTGTGCTGTCCTCTACCCGTGTGCTGTCCTCTACCCGTGTGCTGCCTTCTACCCGTGTGCTGCCTACTATCCGTGTGCTGCCCTCTACCCGTGTGCTGCCTACTACCCGTGTGCTGCCCTCTACCCGTATGCTGCCTTCAACCCGTGTGCTGCCTTCTACCCGTGTGCTGCCTACTATCCGTGTGCTGCCTTCTACCCGTGTGCTTCCTACTACCCGTGTGCTGCCTTCTACCCGTGTGCTGCCTACTACCCGTGTGCTGCCTACTACCCGTGTACTGCCTACTACCCGTGTGCTGCCTTCTACCCGTGTGCTGCCTACTACCCGTGTGCTGCCTACTACCCGTGTGCTGCCTACTACCCGTGTACTGCCTACTACCCGTGTGCTGCCTTCTACCCGTGTGCTGCCTACTACCCGTGTGCTGCCTACTACCCGTGTGCTGCCTACTACCCGTGTGCTGCCGCTCAGTTAATCGATCCTTGGATGGTGTCGTCAGAAGTCTTCTCAGTGTGATTTTGATGTGATCAAGTCCCCTCAGTCTGATTTTGAAATCAAAAGCCTATAAGCAGTGCGATTTTGAGGCCAATGTCTCTTCGGTGCTGTGTTGTGATTAAAATTCTCCTTTAGGACGTTTTTGATATCAAAAAGTCTTATTTGGTGAACAAATCCACAAGAGCCGTGACAAGGATTCGAACCTACGTCCGAGATCATCCCAGACGCTCGACTGAGCTACGACATGGTCAAAAGAGTTGAAACCAAAAATTGTACCTAACTTACTTAGATCCTGCAGCCTCTCCGAGACAACAAACCAGGGTTTTACACAACTCCCCCCATGCACTCAAGCTATGTCAATAGGCCTCTTCCTATTAGAGGCCTACTTCCTATTAGTAGGTCAATAGGCCTACCTCTTCGCCCTTACTTCATTACACACAGAAATCACAATAGCGTGATGCATCAATGAACATTTGGTGATCCACAAAGTAAATTAATTCTTAATAGTAGTTGTGTGTGCGGTAGAGTCGCGCGGGCAGTGGTCAGAGGCGCAGAGGGCGCTGTCCTGGAAACACAAACCGAAACTGTCTCTATTTTCCGCTTGTTACAACTTGTAATAAAGTTGTTACATCTTGGCTTAACATGTTTATGACGTATTAGAACGTTGTTACAACTTGCTATATTGGTTGTTATAACTGGTTTGGTGTTAAAACTTGTTCGAACGTTGTACCGACGTCGTAGTTTCGGTGTGTGTTTGGCGGGTGTGTAACACAAGTGAATAATTGAAATCTGTGTTGCAGATACACTTGTCAGACAGTATACCGCGCGGTTACCTTGCGATGCTTTCGGGGCTCAACGTCCCCGCGGCCCGGTCTTCCACCAGGCCTCCTCATGTCAAGGTAGAGTGCTAGGCACAATTAGCTGTACTAATATTACTCTTTTTTCATGCAATATTGATACATGTCAAGCACTGTATTATCGGTCTCATCTAGTATGCTCGACACTGTGATGTGTATACTTAAAGGAGTGTATGCATACAAGAGTGTATGCATACAAGAGTGTATGCATACCACCACGGCCAAAGAAGCCCATTAGGGAAGGTTGCGGTATAATACTTTTGACATGATATATCACCTGTGGTACATAGTGCTAAGTCCCATTTCACCATACACACGCCTTATGTCTCACTACATATAGGCGTGATCTGTTACATATCTCGCTACACATTCCCGTGATCTGTTACATATCTCGCTACACATTCCCGTGATCTGTTACACATCTCGCTACACATTCCCGTGATCTGTTACATATCTCGCTACACATTCCCGTGATCTGTTACACATCTCGCTACACATACCCGTGGCCTCCCTTAGCACCAGAAAATACTAGAGACCTCAACTGCATTTGGTGTCGGCGATGTTCTACCAGCCCAGGGGAGACACACATGATTACTGACTCCACTTGATTGTTGGGGGTGATTGTTGGGGGTGATTGTTGGGGGGGGAGAAACATTTGGATTTCTATTTATGCTTCGCGTGACCCTCCATGTTCATTGTTTCTCAGAGTTCCGTTCCCTGCCGATAGATGTCACTAGTGAGGCGGCGCATTGAGGCGGGGCAGCCATTGGAACGAAGCCCAATATGTTTCTTGACAATATGAGCCCTATGTCAGTGGGTAGAAGGGAGGGGAAACTGTTAGAGCCAGAGGAATATAGGGATGATTGGGGAGCAGGAGAGTAGTTGATAGTTAAGAGGGGGAGAGAGAGAGAGAGAGAGAGAGAGAGAGAGAGAGAGAGAGAGAGAGAGAGAGAGAGAGAGAGAGAGAGAGAGAGGGGGGGGGGGGAGTCATGAGAAGGACGGAAGAGAAGAATTTTAGTATCTATGGGATAGATATAGACAATAATAATTATCATGACAGATATAAAAGAGTTGGTGGGGTGAAAATCTTTCTTCCCGATATATATATATAATATATATCTATATATATATATATTATATATAAATATATATATATCTATATATATATATCTCTATAGGGCGTGATTATATCTATAGGTAAACTAAAAGAATAGTTAACTGTAGAATGTATTACACTAATTATAAATTTACACACCGTTTGAACCAACATGGTTCATTCTCAAGTGATGAGACTGTACTTGGTCTATTGGATTTATGCCATTAGAAAAGGATCAGGTACATAATACAAATAGGTGAAGAGTACAGAGTAAAGGGAGGTAGAATAGGGCGTGAATGGGGATGAATGAAGCGGAAAAAAGGGAGGAAGCACATACATTAAAGAGGTGTAGTGGGCGTGGTTTTGTGAGCAGTGTCGTCTACGTTGGCATCTTCACGTTCCGGTCTTGTTCCGACTCACGTTCCGGTCACGTTCCGGTCACGTTCCGGTCTTGTTCCGGTCACGTTCCGGTCACGTTCCGGTCACGTTCCGGTCTTGTTCCGACTCACGTGGTGGGTAGAGCGAATAGTTCCCTTAATTGGGTATTTATGGTGGGTTGTTCGGCTTTTATATGATGGCTTCAAGAATTTGCAATCACAAATTACAACAAGAGTCCTCTTGTCCTGCTTTCTCTCTATCTAAAGAGGCTATCTTTGACAACCTTATCTATTCCTCTAAGTATCTTTTAAGTTGTGATCATATCCCTCTGTTGCTTCTGTCCTCTTGTATTGCAAGATTTTGTTCCTTCAGCCTATGATCGTAGCTTAGCCCTCCTAGATCTGGCAACAATCTTGTTGCAAACCTTCGCATTTTTTTTCAATTTTGTCTTAATGCTTTGTAAGGTGCGAATTTCATACCGATGATGCGTACTCCAGTATTGGTCGAACAAATGTTATTAGATTGCTTTGAAGGAATCCTGATTCAGGTTGCTAAACAATGTTCTAATGTTTATCAGCGTCTCATACGCTGCCGATGTTATGCTGTTTATGTGTGCCTCCGGTGTGAGTGTGGGAATTATATCTACTCCCAAATCCTTCGCTCTTTCTGTGTGTGTGTGTGTGTGTGTGTGTGTGTGTGTGTGTGTGTGTGTGTGTGTGTGTGTGTGTGGTGTGGGTGCATGTGAGTGTGTATGTGTACTCACCTAGTTGTGCTTGCGGGAGTTGAGCTTTGGCTCTTTGGTCGTGTGTGTGTGAGGTGCGAATGAGTGTGAGTGTATGCTTGTGTCAGAGAGAGACAGAGAGAGAGAGAGAGAGAGAGAGAGAGAGAGAGAGAGAGAGAGAGAGAGAGAGAGAGAGAGAGAGAGAGAGAGAGAGAGAGAGAGAGAGCAGAAAGAAAGAGAGACAGACAGTCAGAGAGAGAGAGAGAGAGAGAGAGAGAGAGAGAGAGAGAGAGAGAGAGAGAGAGAGAGAGAGAGAGAGAGAGAGAGAGAGAGAGAGAGAGGAGAAAGAGAGACAGCCAGTCAGAGAGAGAGACAGAGAACGAGAGAACTCCATGCACTCAGCACCAGAGCACCTAGTGCTACATATATATACATCTCAGGCCAGGTAGAGACCCACTCCCCTCTCCCTCCTTCAGGAACCCCAGAGGGCAGCCCCTCGGCCCACCCTCAGGCAGGTGTTGGAGATGCTGGGGGAGCAGCCATGACCTGGCACCACAAAAACAATGCAGAAGGAGACAAGTGTGAGTCGTTTGTCTTAAAATTTCAGTTATATTTTTGTATGTTTTATCTTTGTTTAATTATTCATAATTGTTCGAACACCGGAGAGTAATACAGAATATATATAACTAATATATATATATATATTATATATATATATATATATATATATATATATATATATATATATATATATATATATATATATATGAATTTATATATAAATATATGTATGAATGCATGAATATATATGTATGTGTATGTGTAATTTTCATTATGTGCTTTGGAGTCAGCTTTTCAATTGTGTGTGAGTGGGTATATGTGTGCGTGTGTATGTACTCATCTAGTTGTGCTTACGTGGGGGTTGAGCTTTGGCTCTTTGGTCCCGGTCTTTGGTCTTTCTTCTGTGTGTGTATGTGTGTGTGTGTGTGTGTGTGTGTGTGTGTGTGTGTGTGTGTGTGTGTGTGTGTGTGTGTGTGTGTGTGTGTGTGTGTCTGTGTGTGTGTGTGTGTGCATCTGTGTGTGTGTGTGTGTGTCTGTGTGTGTGTGTGTGTGTGTGTGTGTGTGTGTGTGTGTGTGTGTGTGTGTGTGTGTGTGTGTGTGCATCTGTGTGTGTGTGTGTGTGTGTGTCTCTGTGTGTGTGTGTGTGTGCATCTGTGTGTAGCTCAAACAAGATAGTGCTCCGGTGCACACAGCTTCCAACAGATTAAATCCAAGACTTTCCATTGGGTCTCTGTATTAATCTAACTCTACATATAGCAGCTTCTGCTTACATATTTTAATCTGCGCTTACATATGCCAAATTGCGCTTGCAAATGATAATTTGTGCTTACATATAAGAACTTGAACATACGTATGACTATGTGTACACACATGTGGCAACATGCCGTTACATATAACAACTTCAGCTTACATATATATAGCAACTTTTACGTACATATATGGCTACCTGTCTTTACATTTGGTAACTTGTCTTCAACATATAGTGACCTTTGCATATTGCAATGTGCCTTTATATACATATGGCAACTTATCCTATCAAATGGCAGCTTCTTCATACATATCAAAAATATTATTAAAATGTCGACGAACCGCTGTCGGAAATCTCTCTCTCTCTCTCTCTCTCCTCTCATCAGGCGAGTGTATATGCCTCCTCCCTCTCCCTCTACTCTCCTCTTCCCTCTCTCTTCCACCCCTTCCCAGATCTCAACCCTTCTCTTCCCCTTTCCTCCCAAGATATTACCCCTCCCTACCCTTTCTCCTTTCCCCAAACTCTCAGGAAACTTTTTATTACCTTTCAGAATGAGATCATCTCTCACCATCCAGTTAATTATCAGAGAGAATAGATGAGTAACTCGGGAAGCTGTGGCTGTGGTGACACTGTGGTGGTGCTGTGGTGGTGCTGTGGTGGGGCTGTGGTGGGGCTGTGGTGGTGCTGTGGTGGGGCTATGGTGCGGCTGTGGTGGGGCTGTGGTGGGGTTGTGGTGGGGCTGTGGTGGTGCTGTGGTGGGGCTGTGGTGGTGCTGTGGTGGGGCTGTGGTGGTGCTGTGGTGGTGCTGTGGTGGTGCTGTGGTGGGGCTGTGGTGGGGCTGTGGTGGGGCTGTGGTGGTGCTGTGGTGGTGCTGTGGTGGGGCTGTGGTGGGGCTGTGGTGGGGCTGTGGTGGTGCTGTGGTGGGGCTGTGGTGGTGCTGTGGTGGTGCTGTGGTGGTGCTGTGGTGGTGCTGTGGTGGGGCTGTGGTGGGGCTGTGGTGGGGCTGTGGTGGTGCTGTGGTGGGGCTGTGGTGCGGCTGTGGTGGGGCTGTGGTGGTGCTGTGGTGGGGCTGTGGTGGTGATGTGGTGGTGCTGTGGTGGTGCTGTGGTGCAGCTGTGGTGGGACTGTGGTGGTGCTGTGGTGCAGCTGTGGTGGGGTTGTGGTGCAGCTGTGGTGGGGCTGTGGTGGTGCTGTGGTGGGGTTGTGGTGGTGCTGTGGGGCAGCTGTGGTGGGGTTGTGGTGGTGCTGTGGTGCAGCTGTGGTGGTGCAGCTGTGGTGGGGTTGTGGTGGTGCTGTGGTGCAGCTGTGGTGGTGCTGTGGTGCAGCTGTGGTGGGGCTGTGGTGCAGCTGTGGTGGGGTTGTGGTGGTGCTGTGGTGCAGCTGTGGTGGTGCTGTGGTGCAGCTGTGGTGGGGCTGTGGTGCAGCTGTGGTGGGGTTGTGGTGGTGCTGTGGTGCAGCTGTGGTGGTGCTGTGGTGCAGCTGTGGTGGGGCTGTGGTGCAGCTGTGGTGGCAATACTGGTGACTGTGGTCATATCTAATATCTCACACACACACACACACACACACACACACACACACACACACACACACACACACACACACATAAAAAACACATAAGGAAACTGGAAAAGGTTCAGAAGTTTGCAACAAGACTCGTCCCAGCGTTACGAGGGATGAGGTATGAAGAGCGCCTGAAGGAACTGAACCTTACGACACTAGAAAAAAAGAAGGGAGAGTGGGGGATATGATAGGAACGTATAAAATACTCAGGGGAATTGACAGAGTGGAAATAGACGAAATGTACACACGGAATAGTAACACAACGAGGGGACATGGGTGAAAGCTGGAAACTCAGATGAGTCACAGAGATGTTAGGAAGTTTTCTTTTAGCGTGAGAGTAGTGGAAAAATGGAATGCACTTAAGGAGCAGGTTGTAGAAGCAAACTCTATTCATAACTTTAAAACTAGATATGATAGGGAAATGGGACAGGAGTCATTGCTGTAAACAACCGATGGCTCGAAAGGCGGGATCCAAGAGTCAATGCTCGATCCTGCAGGCACAAATAGGTGAGTACACACACACACACACACACACACACACACGGGTCTGGTAGCTGAGTGGACAGCGCGCCGGACTCGTAATCCTGTGGCCCGGGTTCGATTCCCGGAGCCGGCAGAAACAAATGGGCAGAGTTTCTTTCACCCTGATGTCCCTGTTACCTAGCAGTAAATAGGTACCTGGGAGTTAGACAGTTGTTACGGGCTGTTTCCTGTGAATGTGTGTGGGGGGGGAACATTAGTTAGTAACAGTTGATTGACAGTTGAGAGGCGGGCCGAAAGAGCAGAGCTCAACCAACCAGAGCTCAACTAGGTGAATACACGTTTTACTGATCAGTTATTTAGTATAATTATACCTGGATTGTACCTGTATGACGTTCTAGGAGTTCTTCAATGCCCCAAACCCGGCTTGGGGCCAAGCTTCTTGGCTTGTGAGAGCTTGGTCCAACAGGCTGTTGCTTGGAGCGGCCCGCAGGCCCACATATCCACCACAGCCCGGTTGGTCTAATAGTTTGAACTATGCTTGAAGTTTGAAATTTATTTAATCTTTATTCATAGCTTCCATAACTCATTCCAGTTACTACAAGTTGGTGCGTGTAATACACCGCTGTGGCCCTGTGACTTACGTCTCTCGTTTTCTTTCCTGTGTCGGTTAGGGTTTGGTTAGGGTTAGGTTAGATTTAGGTTAGGGTTAGGGTTAGGTTAGGGTTAAGTTAGGGTTAGGTTAGTGTTAGGTTAGGGTTAGGTTAGGGTTAGGTTAGGTTAGGTTTAGGTTAGGTTTGGGTTAGGTTTAGGTTTAAGTTAGGCTTATGTTAGGTTTAGGTTAGGGTTAGGTTCGGGTTAGGTTTGGGTTAGGTTTGGGTTAGGTTTGGGTTAGGTTTAGGTTAGGTTTAGGTTAGGTTAAGTTAAGGTTAGGTTAAGTTTGGTTAAGTTTAGGTTAGGTTAGATTAGGTTAGGTTAGGTTAAGATTAGATTAGGTTAGGTTAGGTTAGGTTAGGTCTGACCTTGCCCGCTGTGACCTTGTTTCGATTGTATGTTGTGTGTGTGTGTGTGTGGGTGGAGGTGCAGCGTGTTGGTGTGGGGGTACATTCAGGTTCTAGTAACTCGCGGCCCCTGCACCTTACCCCAACATACTTCCCCCTTCCTTCTCCCCCTTCACCAGTCTCTCCCATATCCCCCCTTCCCCCTGGTGCACGGCTAATTGTTTACTCTGACACACGTACGGTCCTCGTCACAGTACGGCGTGTCCGAGACGGACGTGCATAGCTGATGTCTCTCTCCATCGCCAGTCACTGCTCCCTCTCCTGTGGTGTTGAGCATGGGGCCCAGAGGAGCCAGATTCACGAAGCAGTTACGCAAGCACTTACGAACGTGTACAGCTTTCCTCAATCTTTGGCGGCTTTGTTTACAATTACTGAACAGTTATTGAGCTTGGAAGCACCAGGAGGCTGTTTATAACAATAACATCAGTTGATTGGGACGTTTTCATGCTTGTAAACTGTTTAATAAATGTAACCAAAACCGTCAGAGATTGAGGGAAGATGTACACGTTCGTAAGTACTTGCGTAACTGCTTCATGAATCTGGCCCCTGCATGCTTACCAGCACGATTCAACTCTCTCTCTCTCTCTCTCTCACTCTCTCTCACTCTCACTCTCACTCTCACTCTCACTCTCTCCCTCACTCTCAGACTCCTCACACTCACGGCCACACACTGCCTGACTCTCGAGGATCGTCACACCTGGTGAGGTAACTGAGGTACACCAATAAACACCTGAGGCAGCGCATGGGCCGCCGTACACATAATAAATTGGTTGATATGCGACAAGCAGATGATCTGACGCTCCTAATAAAGCTTCGTAGCAAGTCAAACTTATTATTTGCAAGTAGTTCTCTGGAAACTGTTGCTTGAAAGACGAATTCCACTTAAAGTACAATATTTTGCACAGTGGCTCATTTGTCTCTATTTAGCGTAGTGGAAATGAGAATAATATAGAACGTTTTACTGACTGAGGAGAGCAGTACATAGAATTTCAGTTAAGTAAACCCCCTCTGCCCTGGCATGTGTTAATAAAGGGTTAGTTTAAAACCATGAGAGTTCGAACGACAT